TCCATCCCAATCCCCAGTTACTCCATCCCAAACCCCATTTATTCCATCCCAAACCCCATTTATTCCATCCCAAACCCCATTTATTCAATCCCAGACCCCAATTACTCCATTCCAACCCCCAGTTATTCCATCCCAAGCCCCAATTACTCCATCCCAACCCCCAGTTATTCCATCCCAAACTCCAGTTATTCCATCCCAACCTTCAGTTATTCCTTTATACCTGTGTGGGAAGTGGTTCCTTTTAAGACGTTTCTCCCTTGTAAAATCCCGTTGGAATTTTATGGTCAAACTGTGAAATTTAACAGTTGTTAAATTGTCAGACTGTTAAAATTCCTGCCCTGAACCCACTTCCTGACCTTCCCCTGTGCCTGAATTGCAGGAGGACGAGGAAGGCTACAATGATGGCGAGGTGGATGATGACGAGGATGAGGAGGAGCCCGGTACGGCCCCACCCCTTTTCCCAGACATAATCCCAGGATATTGGGGTTGGAAAGTGTGGAATTTTGCAGGAAGCAGGGCTGTGTCCGTGTCCTGCTCCTGGCTGAGCTGGGGGAGCACTGGGCTAACCGAGGCTGTTTTGCTTTTCCAGAGGAAGAACAGGGACAGAAGAGGAAACGAGAGCCTGACGACGAAGGGGACGAGGACGACTAAACTGAAGAACCTATTTTGAAATTTTCCTATTGTGATTTGACTGTTTTTACCCTGTATTTCCCCTCCCTGCACCCCCAACCCTTTTTTTTTCTTTTATTTTGTTTTTTTTTTTTTTTTTTTTTTTAATTTTGCTGTGGGAACGAGAGGGAGAAGCAGAGACTGGGTGGGCAAGGGAATAAAATACTATTTTTACTGCCACTCCTCCTCCTATTCATTGGAAATTTCTTTTTCTTTTTAAATCCCTTCCTTTAGTCCCTGTAACTGCAATAGTTTGAGTATAAACCAAGTGGTAATTTGTTTCTTATTCTTGGAGTGGATAACTTTGCCATCCGGAAGGAAAATAAGGATCCAAAAAAAAAGCTGGAGCCCAGTGGCTCATCCCCCAAATCCCACACTTGGAGACTGGTTGGGATTTTCCCAGTCCCTAAATAAACACCCAACCAGCATTTTTTGGGGGGGGGAATGCTGCTGGAATTTGAGGCAGGGCACCATCCCTCCACAGCAACAGGGTGAGAATGGCATCTTGCTCCGTGCTTTTCCTTTCCCCCTGGGAATGACTGCCATTTTCAGCCACTTTTCCCTGCTTTTTGGAGATCCCTTGGCTTTTTTTTGTTTTTGTTTTTTTTGCTCTTTGTAAATAGTGACCAAATGTTTTCGTTGGGCTTGTTTTTTCTTTTTGGGGTGTTCCTTTGGATCTGCTTTTGGGGGGTGAATTTGCAATCCCTGCCCTGTGTGTTGTGTGTTTTTTTTCCTTTTTCCATTTGTTTTTAATTTTTTTTTTGGAGGGGAGGGAGGGGGAGTTTTGTTTTTGTTTTGTTTTGGGTTTTTGGTTGTTTTTTTTTTTGGCTGAGGTGCAGCCAAGACACTGAAAATGGCAGGCATTTAAATATATATATAAATATATATAAAAAGTGTTCCTAATTCCTGAGTTACTAGTGAGATGAATTTGACAATTGTAATAAAAAAATGTTCCAACCCTTTTAAATAAGGTGTGTACTATTTTGGTCTGTAATATATAACACCAATAGAGTCGATTTTAAGTGATGAGAAACTACTTCCACTTGTGCTCTATACTTGGAAAAAAGACTTTTTACACCCCTAAATCCAGGAGGCAGTTCAGCATGTAGGGTAGGAGGTTTCTTTTCATACACTCAAGCACGAGATACTAATTAAAATTGTATTTTCTTACCTAGTGGAAGTCAGTAAAATGACTGAAAATGCCTAGTGAATGTACAGTTTTACTTTCATATCCCTCTTTAAAAATAGCTTTAGAAGTGACTTGTATTTCCTAGTCAATATTTCATCTGTATAAATACATTTGCAACAGGTTTTTTTTTTTTTGGTTTTTGGTTTGTTTCATTTGGGTTTTTTGTTTTTGTTTTTTTTTTTCCCAGAAGAGCCAAACTTTGAGTTTTATGTCTGTTTGTCATTGATGAATTTCAATAAATCTTTTTATACAATTTTTTCTGTGGCTTATTTGAGTCCGACGGGCCACTGGGAAGAAGGAATTGCAGCCCTTTCCAAGAGCCAGGCTGGGAAATTCCTGGAGATTTTTAGGAGCTGGACGAGACCTTTTGCTCCATAAAAAGGTTGGATGAACCCGAGGGAGAAGTTGTGGCTTTACTGCAGCTCCTGAAATGCCCTTTTCCCTCGGGAATGTGGGTTCCTGGTGGAGTAATCCTTTGTGCTGTTTAATCCTCTCCCTTTTTATCCAGGCCTGGAAGAAAGAATTCCTGGTTCCTTCGGCCCCGGGGAAGCTGCTATGTGAGTGTCCTGGGAAGGGCTCCCTGTGCCAGGAGTCTCCGTGTTTTCCTGCCTCTGGAGTGAGTTGGGTCTGAAAGGTGAATTATGGAACAAGCAGCACGTTCTGGATGCTCCCAATCCCATTTCTGTGCCCTGCAGGAGCTGGAGAAGCTCTGGAAAATCCCCTATTTCTTCTTAGTTGGATCTTTTTGGGGAAAAAAAAAAGGCCTTTTTGTTGGAGGTGGGAAGTGACAGATCCCAGCTATCCCTGTGACAGTGGGAAGCTGTTCCCGCTTTTCCTGGCACTCCAGGTCCTTGTCCCAATCCCTCTCCAGCTCTCTGGGAGCTCCAGGATTCCCAGGATTCCACTGCACAAATCCTGGGGAAGCTTCAGCTCTGCTCGAGCACCAAATTCCCCTTTGGGTGTTAAAAAGCCTCTGGGAAGGACTGGAAGAGTTGGATTCTGGGGGTGGAAAAGGCTCCTTCTGGGGATGGGAAAGTTGGATTCTGGGGGTGGAAAAGGCCTTTTCTGGGGATGGGAGGGTTGGATTCTGGGGATCTCACTTCGGGTCAAAAGGCAGCAGTGCAAAATTCCTAAAAATACACCAAATTTGTAAAAATTCCCAGTAATTCCTTGCTGTGAAGGAATTATGCTCCCACAATGGAGAGTCAATGACTTGAACCCCACAGGGACCAATTTCCATCAGGACAAAGCACCCCTTGATTTTAGGGATATCAGGAAAAGGGGGGGACCAGCTGCATCCTCAGAAAATTGCTGGGAAACTCCCAGTTAATTCAACTCCACAGCATTTGCTTAATTCCTGATTTCCAAACCCGGACCTTGGACCTTCATCATCTGTAAATTCGGGGGTATTTTTGTTTTAATTTCAGTTTTCATTTTTTTAGTTTTCGTTTCAATGGGGCCTCTGAGGACGTCGGAAAAGGGGGAATTAACAATAATCCTGCAGCTGAGGAGCCTCAGACAAAGCCAAACCTCCAGGAAGCAGAAAGTAGGTCAGGATGATAAGGATGAGCAGGGAGGGATGGCATTACCAGGGAAGGGAAAAACAGTGGGAAAGGCATCACCCCACAGCCCTGTTGGGAAGGGAAGGGACAGCTGAGGGCTCTGAGCCTTTTTCCTTAAATCCTGTTATCCCTGGGGATAGCAGAGGGGTGAGGGAGCAGCGGGACGGGAAGAGGGAGAGCTTAGCCTGGGATGGGGCCAGCTTGGGAAATGCTGCAGTAAATGGGGGATTACGGGGCTGGATAAAATCCTGGAGGGGTCTGGGAATGCACAGGATCAGTGAACACTGCAGGGGCATGGAGAGGTCAGGAATGGGATGGCAGGAGAAAAGCTGGGAGGTTATGGATTCCTGGGTCTGATTTAGACCCTGGAAAACCCTGCAAAGTACCCAGAAGCAGCTAAAAAATCCACATGTATCCCATCTCTCCCTGCCCTCTGGCAGTGGGAGGCCATTCCCTGTGTCCTGTCCCTCCATCACTTGTCCCCAGTCCCTCTCCAGCTCTCCTGGAGCCCCTTTAGGCCCTGGAAGGGGCTCTCAGGTCTCCCTGGAGCCTTCTCTTCTCCGGGTGAACATTCCCAGCTCTCCATCCCCTCCAGGTCCCTCTGGATGACATCCCCTCCCTGCAGAGAGTGACACAGCTCAGGGTCATCCCTAACCGGGAATTCCTGCTTTAGACAGCTCAGTGTCACCCCTTAACTGGGAATTCCTGCTTTGAACAGCCCGGCTGGTGCTGAAGGAAAAGCTGGAGCTGACCCCACAGGGGGAAGTGCAGGAGGAGCAGCGCAATCCCGATCCCGGGGGAGGGTTTTTCCCGGGAATTGCGCAGCCCCGACTCGGGCTGGAGATTTTTGGCGCATCTCAAACATTTTGGGAGCCCCCTGAGCCCCCTTTGCAAAGGGATCCACAGCCCAGAGCCACCCCACGGGGTCACGTCCTGCACCAGCCTCCCGAGGAGGCCCGGCTGGGTTTGTGCTGAAGTTTGCAGATATGTTAATTAGCTCGTTAATCATCCCCACCAGCAGCTGTAATTGGGCTCATTCTGCAGGAATCCGAGGAAAAACACTGGCTCTTCCCTTCCAAGGGGTGATTTAAAGCAGTAGGTCCCCTCGGAGGCCACGGGATGTGAACGACCTCACATGGGGCAGCCAAGACCCAAAGAGTGGGGTTTCCTTCCAGTTCTGGGGCAGGATAAACCCAGGAACTCCGGTCCTGGCATGCAGTGATAACACAGCCCTTGACAGCAGGAAAAATGGGAAATAAAGCTTAAAAGCTCCATTTCCATCCCAATTGCCGTCACAGCACCCTCTGGCTCCATCCCAATTGCCGTCACAGCACCCTCTGGCTCACACGCAGGGACAGAGGCATTTTTCCCTGGAAATCTGGGCTCAGTCACCACACAGGAGGTTTGTAATAGATGGAATTTTAGTAGGTTCTGTAGTAATAGGATGGGGGGAATGGTTTGAAGCTGGAAGAGTAGGGTTAGCTGGGATATTGGGAAGGAATTCCTGGCTGTGAGGGTGGGGAGGCCCTGGCACAGGTTGCCCAGAGAAGCTGTGGCTGCCCCTGGATCCCTGGAAGTGTTCAAGGCCAAGTTGGATGAACTTGGAGCCACCTGGGCTAGTGGAAGGTGTCCCTGCCCGTGGCAGGGGGTGGCACTGGATGGTTTTTAAAGTCCCTTCCAACCCAAACCGTTCCAGGATTCACCTTCAGCCATTTCCCCCCTCCTGCCCCACCAGACCCCTTTGTGCACCCCCAGAAGTGCCCCTGGGGGTCCTCCCCACTCCCTCAGGGGGGCCCAGTGCTCCCACACAACCCCCTGGGGAGGAAGGACAGGAGTGACCAGGGCTGTGGTGTCCTGAAAAGGTTTTATTCCAGCACTATTCCGTGGTAGCATAAATAACAACGGGCACTGACAGCACGTGGGGCGCGACGGGGGCAGCGGGGACAGCCCTGCCCGGGGGGTGCCAGCCAGCTCGGCAGCTTGGAGCCGGGGAAAACAGGGATGTATAAGGAAATCCAGCAGTGTTTGGTGTCCTTCCCTGTGCTGCAGGTCAAATCCATCCAACCTGGGATTGTACAACGTGCTGAACCCACCGACACCCACGGGGTCCATCCCACAGGGTCCAGCCTTGGGATCCATCCCACAAAATCCATCCCTTGGGTCCAGTCTTGGGATCCATCCCACAGGGTCCGTCCTTGGGATCCATCCCACAGAATCCATCCCTTGGGATCCATCCCACA